GGGGTTCAATGTGGCCAAGTGCAAGGTGATGCACATTGGAGCCAAAAATCCTAAATATAAATACACATTGATGGGGTCTGAACTGGCAGAGACTGAGCAAGAGAGAGATCTTGGAGTTGTAGTGGATAACTCACTGAAAATGTCGAGACAGTGTGTGACTGCAATAAAGAAGGCCAATGCTATGCTGGGGATTATTAGGAAGGGTATTGAAAACAGATCAGCCAATATAATAATGCCCCTATATAAATCAATGGTGAGACCTCATTTGGAATACTGTGTGCAGTTCTGGGCACCACACCTTAAAAAGGATATTATAGCTTTGGAAAAAGTGCAGAAAAGGGCAACTCGAATGATAAAAGGGTTGGAACACTTTCCCTATGAGGAAAGGTTAAAGCGCTTAGGGCTCTTTAGCTTGGAGAAAAGACGACTGAGGGGTGACATGATCGAGGTTTATAAGATTATGCATGGGAAAGAGCAGGTAAAGAAAGAGGTACTTTTCTCCCTTTCTCACAATACAAGAACTCGTGGGCACTCCATGAAACTGCAGAGCGGTCGGGTTAGAACGGATAAAAGGAAGTACTTCTTCACCCAAAGAGTGATTAACACATGGAATTCACTGCCACAGGAGGTGGTGGCGGCTACAAGCATGGACGGCTTCAAAAAGGAATTGGATAAGCATATGGAGCAGAGGTCCATCAGTAGCTGTTAGCCACAAGGTATAGATAGGGACTCTGGGGCAAGTGATGCTCTGTCTTCTTGGTGCTGGGGGGGTCAACAGTGGGAGGGCTTCTAATGTCCTGGCCCCACTGGTGGACCTCCTGATGGCACCTGGTATTTATGGCCACTGTGTGATACAGAGTGTTGGGCTGGATGGGCCTTTGGCCTGATCCAACATTGGCATCTCTTATGTTCTTAAACAAGGCAGGGAGGCCAAGGCCTTCCCCTGATAAGAACATCAGAAGAGCCCTGCTGGGTCAGACCAGGTACGGTCCATCTAGTCCAGCATCCCGTCTCACAAAGGGGCCAACCAGTCCCTCTGGAGGGCCAACAACAGGGTAGAGGCCGAGGCCTTCCCCTGCTGTTACCTCCTGGCTCTGGGATTCAGGGGATTAGTGCCTCTGAACGTGGAAGTTCGGAAGAGTCCTGCTAGATCAGACCAGTGAGGGTCCAACTGGTCTAGCCTCCTGTCTCGCACGGTGGCCAAGCGGACTCCCCGGAGAGCTAACCACAGGGTGTATAGAGGCCGAGGCCTTCCCCAGCTGCATCCTCCTGGTGTTCCTCCATCTTGGAGTGGCACTGGTTCTGCTCCTTGGTACCAAATCTTGGCAAGGAACTGGGGGTGAGGGTTGTCCAGAAACCTGGGATGTGCAGGCAAATTCATTGCCATTGGAGGGGAGAGAGGGGGGAGGCCCCTGCCAACCTGGCCAAAGCGAGGCGGCCTGTGTGGACGGACCCAGTCCAGCCCTTGGTGAGGGCAGCTCCAGTGCTACGCGGGCCCCCGGGCTGGCCGGCCGGCCTCCCCGCTCCACTCGGCCAGCTCCTCTCCCCCTGGGAGTCTCACTCCCTCCCTCCCTCCCTCCCTCCTCCTCTCCCCCTTCTTCCTGGCCCTGAGCCTGGCTGGGCCCCAGAGAGAGGCCGAAGGGCAGAAGGGGCTTCAGGAAGGCCGAGGGCTGGCTGAGGAGAGGGCGGAGCAATGCCCACGGAGAGGAGGCGGGAACTGACCTCTCGGGAGGGGGGTGGGTCCCGCGGGAGCGGGTGGGGCCAGGGGGAGGTTGTCGTCATCATCATTATTACATTCATACACTCAATCATAGACTCCTAGAGTTGGAAGGCACCTCCAGGGTCATCTAGTCCAACCCCATACACCAGTGGTGTCAAACATGCGGCCCGGGGGCCACATCAGGCCCCCGGAGGGCTTCTCTCAGGCCCGCAAGGGAACTGGCCGTCTCCTGCTTCTTCTTCCAGTTCTGCTGCTGCTGCTGCGTCATCGTAGGTTTGCAGCTTACAGCCATACTCAAGATTGCAACAGCACAGACATTTTGATGCAATTATTCAGAGGCAAGAGGTGTCAGTCATCAGACACGGTGCTGATGTTTTAAGCATGATTTTATTTTAACTTAAAAAAACCCGTTTGTGTTTGTATTCTTTATAAAGTTTATATCTCCGCTACCTTGACGGTAGTTTGAAGTCAGAAGTCAGAAGATGACAAAAACACCCCCAGGATTGCTCCCTGACCCCAAAGTGGCCACCAGCCTTTCCCTTGGCGTGTAAGAAAGGGGCCACGAGAACTAAGCACTGAGGTAACCCTCCCTGCCCCCCCCTCCATGATCTGCCCAACTTCACAGAACCAGCAGATCAATCATTCTGTTTATCGATCGCCTATCCCCACAACTGTGGAGCTCTAGGCGATGTGCAAACTTCTAAAAGCATAAAAACACAAAACGGTACACAACGCCACACGGTAATTAAAAACAAAAACAAAACAAGCGGTGAGCCTTTTGTCACTCCCTCCCCTGTCCGGTCTGTGAGGGCTTCACACGTTCAGGGTCCAGGTGGAGTAAGCTCTGTGAGGAGCAGAGGATCCAGGTCGGGCGCCAGCCGTGACGTTAACCCTCTCTGCCCTCAACCAAGTGCCTGGCGGAACGTCCTTGACAGGCCCTGCGGAATATGGCATCAGAGGATCCCGCAGGGCCCGGGTGTGATTACAGCTACGCTCCTGCAGAGTGCAGGGGGTTTGGAGTAGATGACCTGCAAGGGACCTTCCAACTCTATGATTCCATGATTTGGCGGAGAGTCCCGGTCCTGGTCGAGGACAGCCGGCTCTCTCTGGGGCAGGGGACCACCAACAGGTTGTTCCGTGGAGAGCATAATGCTCTCCTGGGGGTGCCACACGCGTGTGAACTGCCACCTTAAGCGGGGGGGGGGGGTGTTTGAGGCGGCCAAGGGGAGGCGTCTGTGTGCTGGGGGGGGGCTGGGAAATGGGCTTCCTGCTTCTGGTGGGACCCATCCAGACCGTGCCGAGGAAGCTGCACTGGTACCTCACAAAGAGGTCCGTGGCCGAGATGTGAGAGGGGTCGGCAGGACTGCTGCAATTCAGGGCAGGAAAGGGGGGTTGTTTCAAGCCCGGAATTCACCACAAGCAAAGGAGGAGGTGCCGGGGCCAATGGGGGGGCACCAGAAGCCACAGCCTGACAGTGGGAACGCAGGCCTGGGGGGGGGGGGGGGTGTGCCGCTATCTACCCAGGCCTGAAGAGAAAGCTCCAAACAGCGGCTGTGGAGCAACTCCCGTTAGGTCCAACCCAAAGGTCACAAAAAGACGGTGTGCAAACTCCAGAGCTCCATGTCAGGCCAGTGTCCAATGCACAATTTATTTATTTATTCATTCTTTTATTCAATGTATACCCGCCCTCCAATGCTCCCTCTAAGCTGAGGAGTCTTGTGAGCAAAAATCCTACTTTGTGAGCGACTGGCATTAAAGTTGTGAGCGAGCGACTTGGCTGCTGCATAACTTAGTTTGCTCTGGAGCCCCATCCATCCCCGAGCTGAGATAAAAATGTGTGAGCCGGAGGCTAAAAAAACTGTGAGCTGGCTCACACCAACTCAGCTTAGAGGGAACACTGCCGCCCTCCCTACCAAGGCAGGCTCAAGGGCGGCTTACACAAAATGCATAAAAATACAATTAAAATCCATCATAAACAATCAAACTGCAAACAAGTCAATTATCCTAAAATCCACTATCCTAAAGTGCTGGAACAGTCGTCAGACAAAGTGCGAGAGCAGAGAATTTCAGATTGAACAAAACTCCACGGGGGGCCGTCATCGGGATGTTCCCACCAGCTCCCTTGACCCATTTATTTATAGAGCAAAGGCAGACTGAAGGTGGTAAGACCGGGGCCCAGGGCCTCTTCTCAGGTGTCTCGCGCGGCTCCTAATTGGAAGCCTGGTGGAAGAGCTCCGTCTTGCAGGCCCTGCGGAACTGTACAAGGTCCTGCGGGGCAGCTACTGAGAAGGCCCTGGCCCTGGTTTCGTATAAACAGGGGTCATTTCGTAGAAAAAGAGGTGCAGGAGCTCATTAGCATAACCTATTTGCATATGCCACACCCCCTGACATCACCGGAAGTGTATCAGAAGGCAATACCCACCGCTCAGGCTCCACTGGACTGTTCTGGATTGCTAGCTATTGGGGGGGGGGACATGCAGACCTGTCCTCGCAGAGGAGGGAGAGCTGGTACCTGAATAAAACTTGGTCTTGAAGGTGCCACTGGACTGTGTTGGATTGCTAGCTATGGGGCGGGGGGGAATGCACAGATCTGCCCTCACAGAGGAGGGAGAGCTTGTACCTGAAGGGTGGGTGCTCTGCAACTTACCTGGCTGCTTCTTGCTCCTCGTGGCCCAACTGAGGGCTGTTGGGAGCAGGGGGCAGGGCTTGTTGCATGTCCCCGCCCCCGGGGCTCCTTATTGCCGGAGTTCTGCTCCTGTGCGCTCCCGCGGGAAATGACCCCTGCGTATAAATCACGAGAAGGGGGCGGGCCGGCAGGGTAGATGTTTCTGGCCATGTTGGGAATGGCTCTAGCTGCAGCTCTGTGGAACGGGATACGGGATCTATGGGGCAGGCGTCAGCCGGGTTGGGTGGTCCAGGTTGCAGCTGGCCCCCAGGCTGCCTGGGCAGGGAAGTAAAGCGTGGCCGCACTCCCTTCGTGGTGGCGAACCAAATGCGCCTCTAGCGCAAGATGGAGTATCGGAGCGGAAGTCCTCGGAGCAAGAAAAGGAGACCATGTCCTGGGTAAAGAGCAATATCGCCTGGGGAGGGGGGTGGAAGTGGGGGGGGAATGGTTCGTGGGAGGGGCAGGCCGATCCCCCCCCTTCCCCTGCCCCTCAAGCACTCTTAGCGTCTTCCTCCAGTTTTAGGTCAAGATCCCAGTGGCTGGGTGGGGTGCCAGCGAAGGCCTCTTGTCAATCGATGATGTGGCTTCATGCCCAGCTGCCTCCAGTCAGGAACAATGACGGAGGAACCTGTGAAGTCACAGGGGGAGGTGCCCATCCCAAAGGGGCCTCCGGTGAGCAAGGCTCCCTCTCCGCTGTGGAGTCTTGGTGAGCAAAACTCCAACCTGGTGAGCTGCTGGACTTAAAGCTGTGAGCGAGCGATTGGGCTACTCTGCCTGCATTCGTTTGCTCGGGAGCCACCCTTCCTGAGCGAAGGCAAAAATATGTGTGAGCCGGAGGCTAAAAACACTGTGAGCTAGCTCACACGCACTCAGCCTTGAGGGAACACTGCTTGTGAGCAGTGCTCCCTCTAAGCGGTGGAGTCTTGTGAGCAACAATCCTACTTTGTGAGCTCCTGGCGTTAAAGTGGTGAGCGATGAGCAATTTGGCTGCCGCATAAATTAGTCTGCTCGGGAGCCCTCCTTCCTGAGAAGGCAAAAATGCGTGAGCCAGGGGCTAAAAAACTGTGAGCTAGCTCACGCTAACTCAGCTTAGAGGGAACACTGCTTGTGAGGTCTCTGGAGGGCTTGAAGCCACAGAGGCACGTGGCTGGGGTGGGGAGTGCAGGTCTGTCGTTGTGGTGCAGGGCAGTGGTTCCGCCACCCCGTGTGTGCATGCGTGTGTGCGCATGAAGGCATTTTATGGGTCTCAGTTGGGCCTCAATAATACACAGCTGGTGGCTTTCATTGCCGCCCTTCCCGGCATCAGGAAGGACCCCTCTCCTAAGAGCCTTTCTTGGCATTTTGGAGGAGACGTTCCAAATATCCCCTTCAACTGGATTTTCGTATAAATCAGCACAGTTTGCTTTTTTCCTGATTGGATCCCCCCCCCCCCAACATTCCCACTTATGAATGATGATTTTTTTTTTGGGGGGGGGGGTAGAGACGTCTCACGGCAAATTCTTTGTGGGGATCGTGTAACCTGATAAGCCTGTGTGGAGGAGGCGTCCTGTCTCGTGTCCTTGCTGGAGGGTGTGGTGAGAGAACTTGTGTCCAAAGGCGACTCTGGGCGAGTGGCGTTTTGGATGGAGAGTTGTCTCCACAAGGGCCTGGGGAGGGAGGGCCCGCGGCGGCGCTTCTGCTGGGCAAGCAGAAGGTCCCAGTCCAGCCCCCGGCGGAGGGTGATGGGGAAGGCCTCTCTCTGGCCGAGACCCTGGGGAGAGAGAGCCACTGTGGGTTGGCGGGGGGGGGGAGTTGATTGGTCAAAGGTAGCTTTGTGTGTTCACGTGGGGGGTGCGTGACAGAACTCTTGCTGGGGCTGGTCTTAGAGCAGAGGTCCATCCGTGGCTCCTGGCCACAAGGTATAGATAGGAACTCTCAGTCTGGGACGAGTGATGGTGTGTCTTCTTGGTGCTTGGGAAGGGGGGGGCAACAGTGGGAGGGCTTCTGGTGTCCTGGCCCCACTGCTGGACCTCCTGACGGCACCTGGTGTTTCTGGCCACTCTGTGACAAAGAGGGTAGGACTGGGTGGGCCTTTGGCCTGATCCAACATTGGCTTCTGTTATGTTCTTAACAGTGGGAGGGGCTTCTGGTGTCCTGGCCCCACTGCTGGGTGGACCTCCTGATGGCCCCTGGTATTTCTAGCCACTGTGTGACCCAGAGTGTTGGACTGGAGGGGCCACTGGCCTGATCCAACATGGGCTTCTTTTATGTTCTTATGTTCTTAAGGTATAGATAGGAACACTCGGTCTGGGGCAAGGGATGCTCTGTATTCTTGGTGCCGGGGGGGGGGGCAAGAGTGGAAGGGGCTTCTGGGGTCCTGGCCCCACTGCTGGACCTCCTGAGGGCACCTGGTATTTCTGGCCACTGTGTGACACAGAGAGTGTTGGACTGGAGGGGCCACTGGCCTGATCCAACATGGGCTTCTTTTATGTTCTTATGTTCTTAAGGTACAGAAAGGAACTCTCGGTCTGGGGCATGGGATGCTCTGTCTTTTTGGTGCTTGCGGGGGGGGGGGCGGGGGAGGGCTTCTGGTGTCCTGGCGCC